AAACGATCGAGATCTGCTTTTTCGCTCGGAATTATCGTCAACACTGCGCCGGTGATTCGTCGAGTCTGTAAATTTGAGTGAATCATTTCAGTTTTTCCAGATATCGCATAACATCACATTTTCGGACGTCATGAATGCTGATCACAATTGTTNTCATAGATGAGGCTAAACACTTGATAAAGGTCAAAGAAAGACACAACGGCGAGCAGCAATCAAGAATCGAACAATGCCTACAGTCAAATTACCTGAAAACGATCGAGATCTGCTTTTTCGCTCGGAATTATCGTTAACACTGCGCCGGTGATTCGTCGAGTCTGTAAAATTGAGTGAATCGTTTCAGTTTTTCCAGATATCGCATAACATCACATTTTCGGACGTCATGAATGCTGATCACAATTGTTATTGGTGAAACAATAAATGCAATTGATATTGAACACATTTATTAGCAGAGAAATTTCGCATTCTTTCTCAGTGTATTACTGCAACAAGCAAATTTTTCAGATCGTTGACGTCATATCGCGTTATATTTTCTATTCCCATAAAAACAACCTAGACGCACGATATCTGAGAACATATTATAGAAGTCTTCCTGCATGCATTCATGATTAGCAAAGCCGACAGCTGACTCATTTCGAAGGGTTCTGAATGATTATTGCTAGGTGTTCGTGACATCAATCAATATACCTCTTCATTCGTTTGCATACCAGTTGAGCAAATTGTAAAGATGTAGGCGATTGCAGCGAGAATCTGAAATATTCTAAAATTTCAACGCGATGAATAAGTTGATCAAATTGCAGTGAGTTTGATCGAATTCCTTAACACAAAAATCCACTCGAAACCGTTGACGTTCTAAGTGAGGAATGTAAATTGCATTATTAACCATTATGGAATATTATGACGGATGTTAATTTAAATGCATCTCGTTGATTTTATCACCTCATTCAAAATTCAGAAGGTATTCTTTTTCTTCAAATGACAGACAAATGCGTGCGCCTACATTGGATTATTGTTCCTTAGAGCAATATATCGGCGCGATTCCTATCCCTCGTGGCCAATCAGAAAGAATCATTCAAACGGAATCCTTTACTTTTTTTGATTTTCAATATTCGTCTCAACATTACCAAAAGCGTTCAACTAACTACGTGCAGTATGGCAACGAATATTACAGCTGGTAATTTTACTGAAAGTTAGAAATTCTGCAAGAGAATGGAAATTTTGGAAACATCTCGCATCTGTTTTTAAAATGCTCTCAGCAACATTATCACTAGTCGTTAAGATCGCAGAAAATTCTAAACATTTGTCTCTGACGCCTGAAAATTTCCACAAATCTTGCTCAGTTTTTCTGTGATGCACTCAGAAATGCGTATTATGCGGGAGCTGTACCATGAAAGGGGGGGGGAGGGGTTGTAGGGAAGGGTGATTGATGCTGGCCAAAAGTTTTGTTTCGGTGGAAATGGTTAGAGCACACAAAATGAACTTACTAGTTCATTAAACTATCGCAGGTGATCTTGTTGAATTAGCAACGAGACAGTAGCAAAACTACCTGAATAGAAGCCCACGCAAGTGTGAAACGAACTTTTCGATTCAGATGCTCACGGATCGCTTCAGAGCGGAATTGAAATGCACTTAGTGGCTCTACCAAACTGTAAATTTACACGAAAAACCTTCTCAATGAAACCATTTTCATGTTCATTTGAGTGCAGAAGCTGTGATCAACACTGAAGGAGGTGATTCAGCTAATAGAAAACTTCATCGGAGTTGAAATTTATTCTATTCAGTAGTAGATTTTTTTAAATTTCCGAAAAGCTGTTGAGCTATTGATACCTAGATGATGGCTCTGTGAGGAAATATATTGTGAGTGAGAGAATGACAAGAGACCATGCCAACGAGAACATTATGAACGGATTGAACAGATCGCCGATTGCTTCCTGCAATAATTATTACATATCACTGTGATTTTTACTTGAGAAATGCTTGTCATTACATATTCACAAAGTGTTTTTCAGCAAAGGAGAATTAATTTCGTAATTTAATCTCAACAGCAATTGATTTCGTAACGCTCAACATCCTTTTCGAGGCTGTTGCTGATCGCGGTCCTATTTCAACGAAAAATTATGCGGGTTTCAATGCGATCTGTCAAATTCTGCGGCCCAGAAGGGACCATTGATAAACTGTGAACGTTCATAGCATCAGATGAAGGCTTCAAACAATCCTCAGTCTTTTCAGTACATTATAATTGCTCTTACTTCTTTCTTCCACTGAAAGCGCCATATTCATTCATGTTTTTCTCATTCAAGGATCTTTACCATATGAATGTTGCATCCAAAAAAATTGTGTCCTTGTTTCAGCGAGCATGTGTTCTACACTATGGGGACAAATAAGTCCACAGGCTTGATGACTTCTCAGCGTACTGTTTATTTCAGTGTGATCTCTTTCGATAAAAATTTGCGTTCAGAAATCAGATGCATACATTTGCAAATTCCTAATCAAGCTGTTTAAAAGGTCTATAATCAGGATTCCAAAATAGTTTTTGCTCGGAATCAGTTATTTTGCCTTGATATCAATCAGTTCATCCACCGTTTATAAGATGATTCTCCGATCGGTTACGTGCAAGATTTGCTCACACAAACCTGAACCGAAGTGATTCTCAAGAACAGTTCATAATAAAACTTCAACGTGTAATGTCGTTGGTGATGTTCACTTCGTAACGATCTCGCCAATACACGGCACCATGAACGAACGATACGATTGCAGAGTTCATAGTAAACCAGTGGTACCACATTCCATACGGTCAGCAGTGGTACTAAAATGAACGAAACATCCGTCATCCAACTATCTAAAAACCTGAAATTGCTTATTGCAAATGATGCATATCAAAACACTCATTCATATCTTGTTAACTGAACAACACTACCGCATTTTGATCTTAAGATTATGTGTACTGCTTTGATACTTTCATGCAGGTCATGTCTGACCACTCATGATTTTCTTCTCTCAGTACTTGGCATCACTTTAAAATTCTCCCAGAACACCACAGTCGTCAAAAGTGTTTCTAGCCCCTCTCTTCAGTCTATCTTCATAAGCCGGTTATGAAAGCTTCAAGCTGCTGGACCAGTTGAACGATTCATGTGCTCTTAATTATGGTCCGAAGATCCCTACTGATATTTGACATCATCATTTCGTTTTATTGCTCAAATTTTGATGCGAAGTCATACAAAGAATTCGTATAGGTTGTTCATCACTGTCAATTTGACTGCGATGAACAACTCATATGGCGACTTACAGCATGTTGACTATACAACATTTTGCTTCATAAACGAAAGACACATGAATAAATGATAAAATGAATGAGTGAATATAATTGTTTTTATTCACCATAAAAACTTTGATGAAAATGCGTAGCTTTCTACGAAATGATCATGAACCATTGCTACTAATATGGGTGGGTGCGCCTTGTATCTCTTATCAAAGCAGTACACCTCGTACACGTGTACCAGTACATGTGAACGTAATTTGAGCCTAAGTTTGAAAATAAGTCTGAGCATTAGCCTAAACACAAGCCTGAACGTAGGCTTGAGCATAAAAGCGAGCCTACTTTGAGCGGATATGGCTAAAATATGCCCATCTGTAGTGCTACATCTCATGAGAGGTTTACATCCAGTCGCTGCAGTGCATGTTGCACTTAAAGTGCAAAATCAAAAAAAGCTGATCGATCACATAAGTTTCTTTTTTACTACCACTACCATAACCATTTACAACATCTTTTCATTTTTTAGATTAGATGCGAATATTTTAATGAAAACTTTTCATTGATGAAATGATTACGTATGGATGCAAGCCATTGAATATTTACTAATGAATAACCAATTCAATACTCAACAGAACGATAAACGGATGTGCAATTAGTGTGGAGGTGAAGTAGTGCATGATGGGAAAACTATACGAGAATTGAAAAAATCATATGGTGCTTCGCTTGATTTGCTCAAAACGAAACGGCGTTTTAATTACATAAGCCAACTCGGTGACAATTGAAGCTGAAGAGTTTTTTTTTCATTTCTGAATGATTTTGTGGTAATGACCCTTTGAAAAAGGACAATCGATAAGATCACATGAGCGATTTCAAGTTCTCCCCAGAGGGGAAATTGTTCTGATGCTGACGACTTGAGCGCCGGCTAATCTATCTTTCCGATCAAAGAGGTTGAATATCGCGGCTCTCATGCATCTTTAATTCACTGATCGTGAGTAAGTTCACAATTTCATTGCTTATCAAAATCTGTTCGCAAATGTTTGCTACTAAAATAAGACCGATGAAACGATAAAACCTCACCTTTCATGCGTATAGACGAATTCAAATACTCGTAAAGTGAACGGTGCAACAAACGCCAGACTGACGATGATCAGAAAGGCTATTGAATATGCGAGTAACGGAGGAGTTGTCGAGAAAGCACTTCGGAAACATAATTCAGTCGTATCCATCAATCGTAACAATTTTCGATTCGCATTCAATCTGATCACAAACAATGAAATCTACAACAAAATTCACTGGAACATTCAAACAAATTTGTTTGCTAAAGTGATCACAAAACTTCATGAGAAGATTTTCAACTCTTGGAAAAATTAATGATTTCAGGGAGCTCTATGCCTTATGTACAAATTTGTGTGTTTGGCTCTGCAGCTGTAGGTGAAAAGAATGTTCAATGAGACGACATTGTTATGGCAG